TTGGATTGGAAAGGAAAAAGAATTGGACCTGTCTTCCTTGATGTATTCCAATAAGCAACAAACGCAAATTAATTGGATTGGATAAAGGCACTTTCATAGGATCGATATGTCTAGCTTTGTCTTTGCCCCGTTTAAAACCTATAACACTATCGTTTGCCTCTTTCTGTCAAGTTGCATTTACGCCGTGTTAAAAGGAGACAGACCAATGCTTATTGGAACAGTGGAAGTGGATTTATTAAAAAAGACATCATTTCAATAAACTTAAGGTCTGTCACTACCCAAAGCTTGCTTCAAGTCGTAAGTAATTCGCAGCTGAAGTTCCCCGTTATTCAGATATTTGACTATATTGAGTTTATCAAATCAAATTATTTAATTATTAAAAAGAATAGCGGAGAGTTTATTGTCAGTTCTTCTCTTCCGTTTTACGCCCTTGATTTGAGAACTGGCAGTTAATGTAAAATTAGAAGAATTTAATGTATATTTCTTTTTTGACGTTCATAAGTGTACATTGTGTTACATATATGAATAAATGATTTTTGTCTTTTGACTTTCAACCAAAAGACATTAGTTGTTTAATACATTTATCGTTTCCCATATAACTAAGGTAAGAAAGGCCCTTGTTGTAGCGGTCTTATTAGGTGTCTAATGTCTATCGAGTTCGATTCACGGTCGAAGTGCAAATTTGTTTAACTTTATATTTGTTCTCTGCCTTTGTTAGGTTTGTACGGTACCAGGCAAGTTCTTAAACCGTACATAGCGGACACGATCGTTTCTAAGGCATGAGGGCCTCAAACCTTAGAAAGGAGATTGTGAGGATGTATCAATACGTTCTAGGCCGATTGTGGTAATTGCAAGTGGTTCTAGCAACTCAACAATGTAACAAGATTTGTTCCACGTTTTCATAAATCGGTCGTAGCGTGGGTTTTTATGGATCAAATAACTAACCACTTACACCAAATGCAACAGAATTTAATACCATCACCACAATCAGTCGAAATCTGTCAAAACGACATCGAAGGGACTACTCATTTGGTCGTAAAAACCGATAGCCGTAACAGCCGATGACGTTGTTATTAAGTATCTAATACAATAGAATTCAGCCGGGACCTTTGCATTTGGTCTATATAACCGGTATGTTCTAAACGATGTCGTCGTAAACGGTTTTCACTGTATATACCTGCAAAAAGGCTTTATTTCTAAGTAATCTTACTAAAGTTGTATTTAAAAACAATACAACAATAAACGCTTAATTAGCATTATCGTGTACGGGCCAGCATGCTAATTTGATGTCATTTATTCGAGTTGTCGCGTGATCATAGTCACTTTCCCCGGCGCAAGGTTTCTGTTTCAAAGGCATTAGATCTCTCTCTTGGTATGTTCGAGGATGCGTTACGAACTTTCTAGACTTTGTAAGCTCATATAACCTTTGCAATAAGTCATACCCTCGCTACCACAATAAGTATAAATTACCCACCTACATCCGTTGTCGAGTCTATGACCAAACATATTAAAGGCTTTATATCTATACTTAAAAGTAAAATTGTCCAAAGTTATTATTATTCATACAAAAATTAGTGCAGCCACTCAACCATTATGTTATCTTGGCCTTAGAGTATCTTCTTTTTTAATAGAAAAACAGCTGACCAGTATTCTGTTCCTGACATACCTACGCCGTCGAGTGTTTGGGACTAAATTGCCGTGGGATGTTTTCCTTCAACGTACGAGCACAACTAAAAGCACGTAGAAAAAGATAAGCTTTTTTTTTTACATGTTAATTATCTTCTCCATCGTTGTTCAACTCATATACTCTAAAGAATTTCGCAGTCATCTGAATGAGCAACCGTCTTAGACCGGTACGTACCGGCTTCCCTCATAAAGAAAGTGTATTAATGCACAACCGCGGTTCGAACCTACGACCTCAGGGATGAGTCACATGCTCAAGCCAGTATGTGTGTTGAGCTATTATTATATTCATGCAAGACTCATTGCAAGTAAATTTCTTTAAAAAAAGATTAGTATCAGACAAAGTGACCACGATTGCTAAAAATAAACAATCATGAAATATTAAGTAATCGCTTAGTTTTTAGTATATTATATGTATATATACAAGAATTATATTATATGTATATATACAAGAATTATTTGAGGCTAATGTTAGGTTTTGAAGCCGTCATCGAATAGACGGAGAAATCCATAATCATTTATAATTAAGTCTCATTTATTCTTTGTAACATTTCAAATAAAGAGTGATGGAGGCCATTTGGAGTAGGTCTATATTTTAAGAGTTCCTTGGAGTATACGGAAAAAAAGTAAATTCGAAAACCCTTAGGTATTTTTGAAGTTAAAAATAAATATACTGGCATTAAATGAAAAAATGATATTTTCAATCCATTCCAGGTGAGTGAATTTAGACATTTGAGTATATCAATCTCTAATCAAATATCTCTTCAGCCTTCAGACTTCAGCTTGTCTCGCAAACAAGTTCAAGTAGGAAATCCTGGATGTCTCATATCTTTAGAGTATGCGACAAACGGAAAAACAGTAAGGAAACATTTATGTTACACCGACTATCGACATAACATGCCGCAATTAAAAAAAAACTCATCCTTTCAAAAATTATTAAGGTATATTAAAATTGGCATAAATCAATCATAGAACAAATATAAACTACGTCAACTATTATTATAACTCGTCGTAGTTATAATAACTGTATAACCCGTGAAATATAACATTTGAAAAAAAACAACCTTAAACCGGGTCAGTATGCAAATTAGCGATGTTTTGAGTGCTTTACAGTCGTGGTCCGCGAGACTCGTAAATAATAATTTTAACTGTATTAAGTACTAGTGTAGTAACAGATGGCCAAACAATCGTTTTAAGCAATGTCTGGCAAATTAAGAAACGAAAACTACGAGACGCAATACCTGAGCGCTTTCGCAGTTGAAACTAGGAACTACAATATTTGTGCAAGTTTGATTATTCCACTCAAAGCCTGGTTATGGATGAAAACACTGCTAAATTGGGGCAGGACACAAGTTTCAAGGAAAATCTGTAATGGCATAGTTGCCAATTAAAATTATATAATTTGGGTAACGCTCATATTACATGACTCATAATGGATTACCGAGGAAAATGAGAGTAATGCAACAGAGGTCACAGTCCATTACTAAAGAGAACAAATTGGGAATAGCCTGAGAAAATATAATTTTTTGCATCAGCAGGAAATGTACCAAGTTAACAAAATAATATTACTTTAACTATAAAGTAAAATTGTGATTAACAGAATATAAATATATCTTTGCATTTGTGTGTTTAGAATAATTTATCTAAATCATATTATGATAAAATGTCTACTTCTCTTAATTTTCATATTTAATTTTGTGTCATATCCTAAGATTTAAGATGGTTATTGTTAAGTTTGATTAGACATAGAACTCAACCTTTTTTAAACAGAAACGGAATGTCAAAATAATATTATTAATAAACATGCTGCTTCCTTCATTAGAAACCTATATTAATAAATAGTACAATTATGTAACATATTGGCAAACTTCCAATATATAATAACTGAATGGAAGTCAATGTTAATGTAAAAGTATAGTCCCAGATATATAATCACAGCAATGTTGTTAATTCTATATTGTATATTTTATTTACAATATATACTTACTATATTTAATATAATCCTATATTATGTTATTAATACATTATTATGAACTTAGCATTTCTGATTTAAAACTTTTTTCAGTTTAAGTATATGATAGTTGTGTTTACTTTAGTTGGCTTTTGACAAATAAAAAAAGTGGCGCTACAACCTTTTAGGTCTGGAACTCAGGTTTCTGTATCTGACAAATACTTAATATAAACCTAAACGAACCAATAAACATGATATAAACCAATAACAATCAATTAAACACTAAAACCATTCTAAAAATAAAGCTGTTGTGAATCCTGTCATTTCAGTCCACATGAGTCATGAGATTAAGTTATAATGATGACCTCATCTTTAGAATACAATATCCTTGTATCTTAAAACCTAATGGACTTATACATAATGCAACAGATACACAAAACAACAGCAAGTGACCTAAATAACGCGCATTATACGTGCAGTAATAATATACTTTCAAACAGCACGACTGCCATGCAAAACATGTACTCAGCACTGCCGTTCCTAATTTCCTAACTGTTTCGAGATAAATGAACGCCAACAAAAATCCCTGACATTGCCAACTCTACAAAATATGAATATCAATATCACAGTGCAGCAAGTAGATAATACTGAACAAACCATAAAACACGTGTAAAAATATTTTACCTTAATGATGAGTTCAATCTCTGGAACGTCTCCGTTCGCTGTGCCATTTTCTGCAATTTCATCCGACATCGTTTATCCAGAAATACACACGAATTTGTTAATAAATATTAAATTCACAGGAACACACAAACGTCACTCTTGCACGATACGGAATAACTGACTCACTTCAGTCACAGAAATGTAACGACGTCGAATTTTGAAACTTTAGTTGTTACTAACTTCACAAGGCTTAAAGTTGTAATTAAAACCATAACAGTATTAGGTGTTAGAGTTTAGACTACAACCTGTAGTTTTAGAGTCAAATGTAAGAAAAACGACGATATTTTTTGCTTTAATATGAGTTCATATAGGATAGTCCAATAGCTATTATATAATTTGCTACTATTGACACGAAATAATTGTAAGCCGCTGTATGTGGCACAGACTAAGCAGAATCTGTTGAGACTGTATATAGATAATTAATCATATCAGTTATTGTAAAATATTGTCAGTTGTCATTTCTGAGTGATCCGAAAAACTCAAATGTCAGATGCTAAATTTGTGAACACTTGTTTGTAATTTGTATTTGCGTAAGTACGCACTATATACATTAAATAGTTTCTTATTTCGATGATTATTACAAATAAGGACTTTGGATTGTCAATTTAGCACTTTATCAAAGCAATAAAATAAAACTATCAAAATGAGTGCTAGTGAAACAACAAAAGAAATGACGTTCGCGGAGAAGCAAGCAGAACGATTAAAGAGACTTCGCTCTTTACACACTGCAAGAAATGAAGCACGGTCGCATAATCACCAAGAAGTTGTAGCTGAGGAGGCTAGAAACAAGTTACCAGCTAATTACGACGCCAAACGACGACAAGCTGAATGGATCATGGAAGATCAAAAGAAACGTGAGGAATCAGCTAAAGAGGGTAAAGACTATGACAGAGTTAAATTACTGAATATATCTGCAGTAGAAGCAGAGAGGTTGGAACGCAAAAAGAAGAAAAAGAACCCTGATCAAGGCTTTTCTACTTATGAACAGGCAACAGTAAGACAGTATAACAGACTTGTCAAAAATATGCCAACTGCAGATATGGAACTTTATGAACAACAGAAACAAAAATATGGTGATGCTTTCTATGGAGGTCCAAATGTTATTATTCATGGAATGCATAAAGATAGAAGAGAAGCAGTTGATAAAATGGTAGATGATTTGGAAGGGCAAATTGCAAAGAGAGCTAAATATTCCAGGAGACGGACTCATAATGATGATGCAGATATTGACTACATCAATGAAAGAAATGCCAAGTTTAATAAGAAATTGGAGAGATTTTATGGAGAGCACACTGCAGAAATCAAACAAAACTTGGAAAGAGGCACAGCTATTTAATTATATTGTGATAAAATAATAAAAATCCAGGAGAGCTTTGATGCATTTTGGGTCTTGGCCTGCATTCTGCATATTATTCATAGATTGTTCCTAATAGGCTGGTGATTAGCCTTCTGTGCTGAAGTGTGTAATGAATTGTTTATAGAAGTTCACAAAATCAATAATAATTATTGAAGTACCTTATATTTTTTACCTTGTGTACAATTTCTTAAATTTATAGTTCTGTAACTATCAATTATCTATGATGATAATAAAAGTTTGTAATATATTTATATTTAACTACAAGACAATGAGAGCTGCCTCTGTTGCTTAGTTGCCATGCGTTTGGTCTAATAAATTGATTGCACTCCATTTTCTATTTAAAAAAAATAGTTTGAGTTCAGCTAGTGTCCATGATTAATTATATACAAAAACATTGGTTCTCATACTTGGATTCAGAGATTTAGAGCTAAGTGATACTTCCTTATGTCACAAACATTGATTTTGACTGTTGTCATAATACAGTAGTCAGTTCTCTGCGCTAAGTCCTGACTCAGGAATCATCTGGTCTTAAAGAGCTTCTCATTTTACAAAAGCCTTATTTTTTACTCAAATACTCTTGTTTGAGTAAATTATATCTTAAATAAAAAAAAAATCTTGTAACAAGTTTTATTTGATACGCATGGTAAATACATAACCAAGTCAATAGATATATAATCCCTATTCTGTATAAGCAATAGGTATTGAAGTCAAGGTGTGTAAAGACATGTAGTATATTTTAATGATTACACAAAAATCAACTACTGTATAATACAAATTTGTATTATTATGAGTAGAAGCCAGAAGGTAATTTTTATACTTTACACCATGTATGGAACTAATATTAAAATTACCAGGTAAGGATAAAAAACAAGATAAGCACGTATGCACGCACGATAAGGCTTAGGTAAAATATTTCAAATCTTTTATTGATAAATTAATGCATTTAAAGAAAAGATTCTTTTAAAAGAAAAATATGTTCTTTATCACACTTTGACTTCTAAAAAATGTGCAAGTTTTCATTTACATAAAACTTCAAATATTGGGGAGCTGTGTTTAGTATAAGCTTTTATAGTATCATACCATCAATGCAAGGTTTATAAGATTAATTTTTACACTATGTGTAGTAGTAAGATATTAAATAAATACTTATTATAATATGTCTCTTAATTAATGTACTTTTTTAATATGAAAGAATATTTTTTATCAAATATCTCTGTCCATATTTTTTGTTGTAGTTAGCAAAATCCCAAAGTTATTTACGTATATTACTGTATCGATTCCTAAGTTTTAAGAACAGTATGTAATACAGACTACAGTGCTATAATTCTATCTGGTCCTGACTGAGGCATTATTAATTTATTCTTATTTTCCCTTGACTTACTTAGGTAAGCTTTGAACAACTCACTTGTGACTTGTGAAACATCAAAGATAGAAGGGCTTAACTAGCGTTGCCACACGTCCCGTATTTCCCGGGACATCCCGTATTTTAGACTTAGTTTAAAATGTCCCGGCTGGACTGACTGTGTATTAAAAATTTAAATTCAATAATGCGTGGATTAACTCCTGACGCAAACGATACACTAAAAAACGATTTTCTACTGTTCTACAGGCTGTTGTCACGATATAATTTTTCAGAAAATATATTCTCTCCAAGGTACTCTTTTTAAACTTTAAATCTTAATTAAACTACAACAATTTTCAAGAAGCTATTGCTTTTATGCAGAATTCCAAATAACCAGAAAGTGTCTGAATATTGTAATTTTGTCTTTGTCTTTTATTTGTCCTGGGTAAAGAACTAAATTCCCGTATTTTTGGCAACCCTAGCTATAACAAGCAAAACTTAGAAAGTAAAAGACAGAAGAATACCATCACATTCATAGTAAAGCCTAAAAATGCTATTAAAAATTACACCTTGCTCATATGACATAAGCATTCGCATTTAATATCGATTGATGTAGGTAGCATGCGAGTAAATAGAAATCTCGTTATTATTTAAAATTTCGTTGCTCAACAACAAAAATAGGAGAGCAACTGGCGGCCTTATCGTGAACGTAAGAAACGTAACGTAAGGAAATTACTTCTCAGTCAGACAAAATACCTAGGTAATTGACGAGAAAGTCTGAAACTAATTTGGTTTGTTTGTGTTTTTCTTTAAATTATTTTGATTTTCCGTGTATACAATACAGAAAACTTGCACATTTTAATACTTATTCGAAGCAAAATAACATCTCGTACATGATACTTATTAATATTTATATACAATAGATGAGCACAAAATTTAATACATACAAATGCTTTTTACTTACATTAAGTTTTTGATTTATGTGAATTTCGTTGCAAATAAAAAATTTCACTTTTTGTAAATTCGGGAATAGACTAGAAATCACAGTATTTGTATACTCCAAGCTATTACACGTTGGAACAATTGGTTAAACGTGTTTACAGAAATTAAGAAAATAATTGTTGAAAACCAAAGGGCTTTATTAATATTTGACTATATTCGCTGTGTTTAGACTATTTTAATATATGTCCTTGACATTTTTAGCAATCAGTTAATAAAAATGTCTAGTGATTACAGGTACCGAAACAACATAAACATCTTGAACATTAAACAAGGGAGTGGGGGGGTAAGTTTGCGCAGCGAGGGACGCAAACGTCAACTGATTTACCAATCACGCGATCGACACGTCACTCTCCCGCCGCCCCCCTCCCAGTGATACCTAAAAATCGCTTCTACCCAAGGATATTTGTTCAAGATGTTTGCCGGTATCTGTACAATAGGGTATATAAAGTTATCGGCGGAAAGTACCGAGCTAAGGCTATAAACATTAAATTTAAATTTTACTGTTTAATTTAGATAACTGATCACGGGATTTCTATATTGCACCTAAAACCCACAAAATATTTGATTATTATAAAAGGTAATTGTTAAATATTTTAACTGCTCAGTTTCGATATGTGAAATTTTACAGTATGAAGAAATACAAATAATTTTTAACAATAATTGTAAGTTTTATTTTCTAGTTCATATTCGGTTGTATGAAAGCGAATTTATGAAAGTATAGTCCAGAATACGTATAAAGTTCGTGATTTGCATAAATATTTTTTGATTATTAAATCGAGATAATTCATTTGGCAGGAACTATTTTGACTTTAGATTGAATCAAACTCATTTTATCATCTGCTAATGTTATTACATCTAGTAACATTGGATGATAAGCCATAAGCAATCACATAATTGCAAATCAGTAAAGCTACCACGTAACTTTCAATAGCGTATTTTTTCAACCCTAAGTTTGCTATAATTTTTTTAGAAAATTCTAGTCAGCCAAATCTCATTTTAGAGTTAATGGAATCGCTATTGATTACTACTACGTGCTACGTGGTAGGCTTGCTGAGAGCTGTCAAAAACAAAAAGTCCACAATACATGTCTTCTAAATTACGATATTATTTTGCGGCAGTCATAACCCATTTTCGCAATATTAAACTGCACTATTTGGAAAAGGCTTCATACAAAATCATTTTATGATAGGTAGTACCCTATTAACGTTAAACGTATAAATTGTATATTATTAAAATTAGTTACGTCACGTAACATTTTTCACAAAAAATTCTAATTGCTTTGGCGTTGGTAAGTCACGCCGCAAACGCGACTTTGCATAAAGCTATTTCCGTTTCAAATTGCTGGATCACGTTTTTGTTAAGGTAAATTTGTCTAGGGTCCGGATTATGACCCAAGAAACCATCTTTGACAACTTGCAACAGACCAAAGCTACAACAAATCAAATCTAAAGCATTAACAGCCTTACAATGTAGTGTAGGGGTAAATAATTATTATTCTTACAGCTTACAGTATGTATAATATAAACTTAGCTGTACGTTACATTGTATGTTAACAATTTCAATAAGAGCGGTAAATTTTAATTTCCTAAAAATATGTATTTCTTTACAATTCAAATACTTCTTTAAACATCTTACTTTTATCTGGTGATGTAGAAATATTGATTAATCTACCGATAACACATGATAATATACTTATGACTATTTAAAGTACTTTCCTATCCACCTTAAGTGCAGTAAATGGTAATAACATAGTTATTCGCATTTGGCATAGCACTCACTGAGAATAGGAAAGAATTTATGCACTAAAAATGCAAACCCTATAAAATAAAAATTTGGAATGTGCAAATTTGTTTTTACCAAATGCGAATATCACAGATCGTTACTGCACTTAAGATAGATTTAAACTTAAATTAATTCGTAGCTTTCATCTCATAAAACCCACGACCGCACAATTTCTGAAAAGCGAAAAATTTTGAAATGTATTGTATTCAGTATTGCCAATTAGGGCGGGCGCTTGAGAGAGGCACAGAAAAAGACAATAGACTGAGCATTGTTTTAAATCTCGGATTTCATAGACAAGCAACATCAACTCATCGAGCATTTGGGGAAATGGGTGAGCTAGTTTACTAAATTTGTCACTCAACCTTGAGCTTCAGACAAAATCACTTTACGACAGGCGTGATTCCCAAAGCTAAACCAATTTGACCTTGAATGACATTGTCTTACGCTTCGTAACGTGACCACACATGCATTATTGTCGTGGATACAACTATCGTAGTGATTTTATCTCAGGCTGCTTAGCACTAATGGACAATGGACATAGTGCATAGCCAATTGTGTGCAAAACGACGGCAATATATGTCTGTTCCATGATCTATAAATGCGAGGTACATAATATGTTTTATCTTTCTCAGTCCATTTTCTTGTCCTCTTTATTTAGTAAGGCACACATTACATCGTTTATTTTTAACTTATAATATTGATATACTTACTTCGTCGTCCCGGCATCAAGCGAACGGTGATCCCATCGGGAGATCGAACTGCATAAAGACAAGTAAATTTAATAGACTGCAATTATATTTAAAACTCACACAGCATTCCAAAGACAACATAATGTTATGCTAAAAATTAGTCACTTACCTCATAAATTAAAATAAAAACGCACAACACTCTTTTAAGGGGGTTAAATAAAGGAATTTATTAAAGGCATCTCAAATTACAAAAACATGAACTGAGGCTTAGTATGGAGCGTGTTTTTTTGTACAAAAGATATCACATTTAAATAAAATACATCAATAAATTTAAGAAAAAACATTTAATTATCTAATATACATAAAAAATTTATGATCACAATAATTCAAGTTAAATTAGTACCTAAATCTCAAATGAACAATAATTTACAACTTATGCTAACATAACAATGTATTTGATAACGATAAATATTTAATATTCCACCTAATTATTATAAATGTTTTCATAAAAAGGGATTAAAACAGTCTAAAATAAATCTAGTTCAAAAAGAAATCTATGTTAAGGCACAATCTAATAATACCTGACTTAACTTGACCTAGACGTCGAGTTCATGGCCAAATCAGCCCTGGAATTTTTAATAGAAGATTTGTATATGGAATAGTCAGTTATAAAATGGGTGCTACTAAATTCTCTCATAGTATTTTGAACGTAGAACCGGCCTTAAGGCTTATTTCATGGAATAGAGGTGTTTACCAACACCAATATACTTTAACAACTAAATAATTGTTTACCTAGAGATCTTTATAACATAATTTTTTATTATAGATTTAAAAAAAATACAGCGTAACTAACTCATCACATATTAATACTGTGATGTTTTTTTCTCTGTAAGCCCTGTCAAGTCCTCTTATAATCGAAATATACAAAACATTAAATAAGGCACATGTCTATAATATATATTTAAAAAAATGTGTTGTGATAATATTCACAGTATTTTTCCTATCATTTCATTAATTCTTAAACTTCGTATATTTAATCGTTGATAATGTTCTTGATATTCCATAAACCACCAATTAATTTGTCAACTGAATAAAGCTGTGATGGTGGTTTTATTAAATCCCGTTAACCATACAGACTATACTGGCTTAACATAACAGATTATAATCTCCTACAGTATGACAAATGTTAAATGCTAAATAATTTCAAACATCAACTTCATAAAATATTATATTATGCTATATGCGAACTTTTACTTCTTAATTATGCATGATAATTCACATAGACACTTCTAAAGGTATTATATGTGCACTTACGTTTGATTTTTTTACAATAAATAACATAGAAAACAGATTTTAGCATATGCACAAAACGGAATTGACGTATTCTTTATCATATGACATTTAGATCAAATAAATTGTTTCTTTGATTTTTTCTAACAACAGAATCAACCTAGTATTAAGTGTTCTATGGTTTCAATTGTATTCCTTAATTTTTTAAAAATTAATAATTGTTAAGGATTTGCATAAATAAATAACAAGTTGATGCATTACCAAGACAGCATCAAAACTTTAAATGTCAAACAGTTTGAAAATTTTAAATATGTGTTACCAAACTAATTTACAGTAAGTCTCTTGGTCAATCTATTTTCTTTGTTAATGATAATTTATTAGTGTAAAATTGTGCACAATATGAGCAATTGATAAAGTTTGAGCAAAATTTGTAACCAATAGTGTAAATAATGACTTTTTGGCAAGGCGCTAGTAGTCTTCTTTTGAGATCCCAAATGGCTTGACCAGACGATGTGATGTAATGAATACAATATACTTAATCCTATTTTGTTTAAATTAAAAATAATATAGAGCAAGGTTTACGTTCATCAAAATGTTTATTTCAATACAACTTGATTAGAATTGACCAAAATTCTTCTTTAGAATATAATTTTTTGAATAATTACTGTAAGTAATGGTTTAGGTCAAATTCTGTATTTATCATCACACTTCATACTTATTTTATTAGCCTGATTATGATTATATATAGTTTTGTAACTAGCTCTATATTATTATTGAATAAATTTAAGTACACAACTCCAATTAGATTACTAAGAAATCTTAAAATCAGTCCGGTAACTAATTGGAAGGTATAATGTTAATGGAACACTCATGCACTAAGGTACAATCCGTCATGCATACGTTTATTGGCAACACTTATTAGCCTCACTTCACACAACACTCAAATTGTTACTTCATCTCACTCCAAAACGTTCCATATACAACTGTTATAATAACAGTCAGTAGCAGTATTGCGGAACTGTTACTTGAATAATAGCAGTGTTCTGTTTGAACTACACTTGCTGTATATTGATGTTCCTAATAATTTGTCCATAGATAGTCTGATCAAATGCACTTTTTTATATTCAGTACTTACATCAGTGCCTAACACTAGGTATAGTCACTGATAAAGCGTGTCACAAGTTATAGCAAGTATCAAAAATTCTTACACATTAACAGCATACCCACTTGCTATATTAGGCAGGGAGCCTGTGTCACTGGACAGATTAGCCCCTCGTCTGTTCCTATCACGGAAAGACCCAAAGCCAGAGTCATGTGTAGTAGCAGGGGACGTACCTACAAATATCCGGGGCATGTCACACTCCTCACACTTGTCTAAGAGTGGATGATTCCTAAAGGTGCACATGTGGCATTGCCAAGAAGCAGACGGTCTCTGCCCTGTGTATATATTACTGTAGAAGTTGTCATCTGCCTCTGGGACAGGTAACACTCGGGGAGCTGAAAATTAAAATCAATTTATTACACACACACACTTATTATAATTGTCACAACACACTGCCTCATCTCCTAATTAATGAAGACTAAATCTGCCTAATTGTACTTTAACTAAAGTACTCTTACGTCTTTCTGTCAAATTGTGTTAATGGTGCAATTAGAGTGATTTATTTTTTATTAATGAGTGGGTTAGTGTTTTTAAAACATGAGATATGATAAATAAACCTTCATGGCTAGTACCTGCCATAAGTACCAGAGTAAAATGTATTATTATGGCAAAACACAGTATTACTATTTCATACATAAAATAAAAACAGTCTAACAGTTTAAGTTAATAATTTTAAATATTGTAAAACATTCAGTTTCATAAATGTAGTTAACTAAGCATCAATGAGTACTCTTTGGGCATGACTAAGACTTACCTCTAACCCCCATCTCAAGGCGCTTTGCCAACATATCACACTCATCCCTTAATCGTTCCACATGGTCCTTGAATCTTAAAGCAGCTGATGGTGATGGTGGAGGAGCAGCTAATATCTGTGTTTCCCGATTTAATTGTGCCAATTGTCCCTTCTCTTGGGCTAATGCAGCTGCTAGTCGTGATAAACGTTCCTTCTGACGCTCAATTAGAGAATGATCTGAAACTAATTGTTGAATGAATTAGCTCTAAAATATTGACTTGATAAATTGCCATGCAACAGACAAAAACATTCCTATACTCCATTATACTGAGAAATTATAGAACAGCGAGTAGAAAAAATAATCGGATAACTTTCTCAACTTTCTTTTTTATTTGAATAAATGTTTCCGGCGCGCAAAATTGGTGGGGGGTGATTATTACACCCCTCCTCCCCCCTCGCTCCCCGCAACCCCCAATTCGTGCGTCGTAATTTAAAATCGTTACCAAATATGTTTTTCCAGGTTAATAATTTCAATATGTACAATATAATTTTTTTCTCAATTTAACTTTACACAAAAAAAATACAATTGTATTAATATAAGAAGCTGTCATTATTATTGTACATGAAGTTATAACTTAAAACTTTATATTTATATGAATCTACTATACTAGCTTTATCTTTAGAATTGTTTTATTTATACTAAATATTATATTACTGTTAAGTCCTCTATATAAAGATAATCAAACTATGTAGAAGTTCTATAGAACTACCATGGGAAATCAAAATTAGGACATTTATTTCTCTTGCTTACGTAAATTGTTTTGTCAGATCCAAACCGATGCACATTTTAAACTTAATATCCCTAAATGACATACTAAAATTATATGATACTCACCTGTACCGGGTGGTTCAGGAGCAACTCTAGATGGTCTCGGTGAATCTATCCTGGTGGATTGAGGTGGAGGTGGTGCTCTACGCTTTGGGCGTGTTGTACTAGGGCTAACAGTCACTGTCACATGCCCCTCAAAGCCACTATCATCATTTCTTTCCCTGACTGGACTGGCCATATTTGATGTTGGTGTACAAACAGTTAAATTGACTGATGTTATTGCTCTAGGACTTTCAAAATCTTCTAGCCAAGGATCACAGTACCCACGGCTTAAGTCCATATGGCAATTAACATTGACAGACAAGTTTAGGGGATACCCACCTCTTTCTTGCCTATATGGACTACTTTTGGGCTCTTTATCAGTTTTTTGAATTGAAGGAGCAGGTGAGACTGTTCGGCATGTCTCATCTGGTTGTTTCAGGTTGTCATTAAATGCAATTTCTGGACTTGGTTTAATGAAGTTCAATGTGTTTGGTCTTTGTGGTTTTTCAAGCACCGCTTTAGGTTCTTCCTTATCTTTTTTAATAGTTTTTTTCTCCTTCACACGCTCCAATTTTTCATTTAAATTTGACTTTATTTTATTACTTTTCAATAATTTAAAATTGGTACTCTCAGGCTGTTCAGAATTGTTTATTTGTTCTTTAAATTCCTGATTAGTATTTTCCTGTTTTCCATTCTCGAGACTATTATTTTCATTTGACAATTCTAAGTCACTAAGTGATTCTGCACTGTACTTAACAAAACAGTTATCAAGATTGACTATAGTAACAGGTGAGCATGTTTTAAGTACTTCATTTGTTTTTACTTCCACAACATTTTGATTTGCATCAGTATTCACTTTAACATCTTCTTCATCTAAACTAGCATTAGTGCTGATTATGGCTTTTTGTGGACCTTGGCAAGTAAACAACTGGGCATTTGTTGATTTTAAAGCTTCATGCTTGATAATGGGCTGGTTTCGGCACTTTTGTGGTGGGTTAATTTTAAATCCACTGAGTTGTCGTGCTGCAGCCACTGAAGACGCATGATAGGCGTGCGTTAGGGAGGTTTTGACTTCTCTGTGCAGATGTGTTTCACAAGCTTTTTTATCATGACAGTATAGCTCGATGGTGTTTGACACAACATGATCGGGTACACCAGGAAACTTTTGTTTGAGCTCATGGAACAACTGCATAAGCGATATGTTGGTACACGCACATGGTGGAGGGCTGGTAGCGCTATCGGAGGGGGCAGACATCGCCGCCCATCCTCGCGGAAAACCACCTATCTGCCGCGAACACTCTCTTCAAAACTTCTGTGAAATTGTGGGTACTCACCTAAAAAAAACTAATAAACATTTTACAGCAGAAACGAAATTTTATTGTCTTTTAGTTCTATGACGTCACAAATCCTACAATTACTTTCTTAGTTACGTATTCACTGCACAGAACTATTGCTGTGAAGGTTCATGACTTGTTAATCTTCACTGTACACATGTGATGAAAAATAACACATAACGAGAGTAGACAAGGCTGAATTTTTATATTATCTTTTGTTATCATCATACCACAACTACTTTTTCGTCATATATCCTGCGCTACAGTTATACGATACTTTAATTTAAGTCATAATGATATAATCTCGTTTGTCAATTCTCACTAAACGATTTTTACACTTACTCAGGTTGAAAAACGTATTAAAACCCAAAAATAAATTACGAGAATCACAAAGTTGTCAATCTGTTACTTCCATTTTGCTTTTTATGCAACAGACTACAGCAGTATAAAAGACAACGGCTACTAATCACAGGTAATATTACGTTCTTCTACTGTTCAAATTGGAAAATTGGAACTAATCGTAAACATATAATTTGATATTTGGGAAAAAGCGCGGGAAACGTTGGTCGTGGCGGGAGTGTTTTTTCTTGTGAAATTTTTAAATTTAATTTTACTTGTATAAAAGATCAGTTTGTATATATTTGTATGTAGTAATTTAATTTAATAGTTTAGTTTATTCATTTGTGTATATATTCTACAGTATCTGGTAAGTTTGTATACTTTTTCGTCAAGGCCTGGAGTCAGGCGAAAAAATTGACGAGCCCCCGGATATCGGGGGCTCGCCCCCCGAGGTAGCTTGTAATATTATAATAGAAAATAGATTTTCTAAACTGGACGAGTCCAGTGTAGATACAGTGTGGATCAACGGAATGACCGAAAAAGAATGCGACTAGGTAAAATTTGCAAACACTGCAACAAAAGGAAAAAAAGATTCGATCCGACGCGTCGGAACAAACGAAAGGACACTGATTGTTCGTGCCAAATACCGGAAATTGAAATTCCCTCAATATATACTGGGCTTAAGCACGCTAATGCTCTAGATAGTTTTCAGAACAAAGTAGACCGTGTAGATACTACAACTGTTAATACCCAACAGCACCCATCACCACCATCAGATGTTTCTCAGTCCATAAAAAATCCTATAGGCCGAACTTTTTATGAGACCTATGACATAGGGCCATTCGTAGTTCATGCGCAAAAAGTTTCTTCAGATACGGACATCTCCTCCCTACACCCCGTCCACTTTGGGTATTTCCTCAAGAAAAATTCTTTTAAAAACATAATTAATGGTAGCATCAAAAGGATAGGCAGAAACCGAATTTCCCTATCATTCTCAGACCACAAATGTGCAAACGAATTTATTAATAACCCTTGCCTGGCAAGAAATAATTACAAAGCTTTTATTCCCTCATTTAATGTGACACGAATGGGCCTGGTGCGAGGCGTTCCCGCGGAATGGTCTCCCGAAGAGACATTAGACAACATCTCTCTGCCTGTAGGCAGCGGAGGAATTATAAAAATTAGACGACTAAATTATAAAGTACGTAACAGCAGCCCTCCTGAGTGGAAGCCATCACAGACTATTGTAATAACTTTCGATGGTCAAACCCTACCTAAACATGTATTTGTCTGCTACAATGCCCTGCCCGTGGAACTTTATGCATATCCCACTATTCAGTGCTATTCTTGTTGCCGATTTGGTCATACTAAGTCTAATTGTAACTCTCGGCCCTCTGTTACAAGTGTGGCCATGGCCACACTGGGGACACATGCAACATACAAGATGATGCCGCGTCTTGCTGTCTATGTTCTGGTCTACACTTTGCTACAAACAGAAAGTGTCCAGAATATGAACGGCAGACTAAAATTTAATTGTATTTGGCTCAGAAATGTGTATCTTACGCAGAAGCAAATAAAGTGTATGATCCAGTTTCAAAATCTTTTGCTGATATAGTTAAGTTTTCAAACATCCAGAATACTCCTAATTCTCCTGTCCCACATGTATCGCCTTCCTCTCCCTCGATTCCGTCGGATGGTAGATCTTATAAGAAAACAATATTTGCTAAACCAACATCCCCTAAACCAAAACGACTGGGGTATAACAAAACAGAACACTTGAATTTGATAAAGGACTACGACGCTCCAGCTCCTTCTAACGGGGTCGCTTTAATAAACAGTAACGTTAACAATAAGGACATAATCTCTGATTTAATCCAATTTTTTACTGAAATTAAATCCAATTCTAACTCTGACAACAACGTAACTGAACAACGTCGCCAAACGATTGCTTCCATAACTAAATTAAAATCCGCTTATGCGTCACGAACGCGAACAAATAATCCAGTGGAATTGCAGAAGCGCTATCTGCAATAAAAATTATTTAATCCATTTGCATAATAAATTTGAACCATTTGTCTCAACTCTGTCGGAAACATGGCTTCGCCCGGAATTGACTTTTCGAATTCCAGGTTAGGTATGTTATTCTCCGACAGTGCTCCTGACGGCTATGGTGGTGTTGCCATAGTCATTAAAAATTATCTCCCCTATTCCTTATTTTCACTTCCCCCATTCGGAGATGACTTATCAGTCATTGCTGCTATTGTAAATAAAATTTGTATAGTGTCTATTTATTTTTCTCGTCCTAATGTAAATATTTTTACGTCAAAATTTAATGCGGATATGATGTAGGTGATTTAAATGACATAATGTTTGTTTGTCCTCGGCGCGACCGGTCGGCTCTTCTCGAAGGTCTCATTTCCCTTCAAATTCCGTTCCCTTCATCCATATCAAGTTTACTTTCAACTTTACAACCCATATGTATATAAACTTTTCGCAGCTTTTATCTTAAGTAATAATATAAAAATTTAGACAATATGAACGTAAATATATGTAAATATGTTTTCTTACACTCCTTTTGTATGTAGATTTATAAGAATTGATCTTTTATTTTATAGTTTAATTATTTTCTATTCCTAAATTCCTTTCCAGTCGATAATTTTATGTTTTTACCCGTTTCCCTGTTTTTGACCCTTGGTCTAAGATCCCGCTATACAACGACCTTCACCGAGATGCTTATTTAATGAAACTTATTTTATATATAATTTAATATGTCAATTAATATAATCCATATGGGTTGCCTAGCAAATTTCAGTCCAGAGTATGTTTAATTAATTTAAAAAAAAAAAAATTTTTTTAAACATTTCACCGGTATGATTATTAGATAAATTCTATACCAATCGAACGTATGAAGCCCATAGAATATGCAAACGTTAGGTTGTTTTTAATCAATTAATTATTTATGTGTATATTTTTTATGTGACACTAAAGTATATATACATCTTTAGTATAAAAGAAGGTTATAGTGATACATATATAATACTACCCTGATTAAAAATATTGATTGAAAAAAGTTCAAAAAATTTACTACATGCAAATTATAAAAACATTTTTTTTTTTAAATATTAATTAAACATACTCTGGACTGAAATTTGCTAGGCAACCCATATGGATTATATTTATTGACATATTAAATTAAATATAAAATAAGTTTCATTAAATAAGCATCTCGGTGAAGGTCGTTGTATAGCGGGATCTTATACTACCTGGGCCACAATGCACAAACCGTGCGGGCCATTTAAAAAAAAAAAAACATATAATTTTAATAAAAATTTGGGCTAGTTACTGACTAGATACACGAACTTTATAACATTATTCTCATACTAATTGCTATTTGTTATGAATCACTTGCTTTTGTAGAATGTTTTTTCTTATTACCTCAAGTTCTCAAGTGTAATTATCTTTGAAACGCTTTTCACGGGTTATCACTTATCAGCTAACATTGACAAGGTAAACACAGCAAGCTTTTGATTGACAATTGTCAATTATTCAAGTGGCTCTGTCTAGCTAATATACAATATTGTTTTTATTTTGCAAGTTTTTTAGTGTAGTGTGTTAGAGAGAATTCATAAAGAAATAAATTTCAGGTTAAACGATCAAAAGACCCAACAGTATGGTTGATGACTTGAGAAAATATTTAAATCATCTGATTGAAAAGTACGTCAGGTAAAAAATAACTTAATTACCTTTGCCTAAAAGTTGCTAAAACATGTATTTTTAGGGTGAATGGATTGCACTGTATCCTGATAACTGACCGCGAAGGTGTGCCTGTTGTAAGATCAGTTACAGAAAAAGCACCCCAATTAGCCCTGAGACCAAATTTTATATCAACTTTCGGTATGGCTACTGACCAAGCAAGTAAACTTGGCTTAGGGAGAAATAAAACTATAATATCCATGTATTCTAGTTATCAGGTATGAGTACCACCATAAATATTATAAATGTATTTTTAACTGGATAGAACACAACTGTAATTTATGTCTCTTTCTTCTACTATGCTCTAAACTTTCATAATTAGTTCCTGCCTGTGCTACCATAGACATTTTACAACTAAAACTGCTTACATTTCATTTTCTTTTAATTGGATTTGTAGGTAATTCAAATGAATAAACTACCACTAGTAATCACATTCATTGGAAGCGACAATTGTAATACTGGACATATTTTAGCATTGGAAAGCCAAATAGAACCCTATTTACAGGATTTGGGGACTATAGTTGCAGAAGCACATAAAGATATGTAACATTAAAAGTAAGATATTGACAATAGTATTTAAATATGTATCTTTTTCATCTTTGGTTTTTTGTATCATAATCTTATTAGCATCTTAAACATAAGTTTTATCTAACAGAAGTATGCTATAATAATATTAGAATAACTAAAATAATAATTTTATATTTGTTATCCTAATACATAAGTAATTAAGATTTTACTTATTAATTTTATATAAAACTTTGAATTTATAAATGACCTTTTTATTGTTTAGCAACTTAAATCTTCTTAAAAACTAATACTATTAGGTTGAAAAACAAGGATAACAGAACAAAGAAAACATGTGTCTGTCATAGTTTGACTCTTAAACAGTTAGATTTTTTAGTTAGCTATCTAATAGCAAGGGGGCTAGATTTTTTATGGGTCTGGGCTATGAGGTAAACAGCTTTATTCACAATTATATAATATGAATTGTGGTGCAATAAAAAAACTTCAACATTGTGCAAGTATTTATTAAAATTAAGGTAAAACAGGAGTGATTAAAGGTTTTCCATATAAGGCGTTGACTACATTCTTAGCAGCTAATTCGGCCATGTCATTTCGTGTACGCACTGTAGCACTCCCAATGTGAGGCAGGAGGACTGAAACAAAATTATATTGATGAAAAGTGTGTGTGTGTGCATTCAAATCACAGCTGTGTACTAGTGTATTTTTCTTTCTATGAATGCAATTTACACATAGAAAGTATATGGATTAGGTTAGTTAAGTTTGCTTACACAGTACACACTCAAGGTTAGATAAGGCTTGCCTATGAAGAAAAATATATGATTACAACACAGATACAGAAGGATATATTATATATAGATATCATATTGCATTCGTTATAATATATTCATATAGATAATAATGCTGAAGACCTCTCAATATAACACAAATTCCCTAAAGAACTTTCTCCCAAGCTGGGTAGTGGCCGACTGGAAAGTAATTAGTGCACCATCTTTGAACTCTTTTAAAAATAGGTTGGATATTTGCTCCAAATCCCCAAATACGCGCGCATCAGCTTATTGATCTTATTATTATTATTATGTATATAATATATACATAATAATAATAATCTGAGACCAAGTCCTATATAGGGTTGAAGCACCACTAGATTATTATTATTATTTATTGAATAACAAAAATATGATGATAATATTTGCATTGTTTGTATTCATGAACACATGTTCGTTTCCTTAATTGTACAAGTAAATTAGCTGCACATGTAGAAAGACCAAGTCTCGAACGCACGATATTTGTTGAAATTAATAATTTAAAACATACATAAATTGGGGAGAGTGAGCAGCTTATGGTCTTTGGGCAGTGGTTCTGGTGTGGATACGTCCAATCCAGCTGCGTAAATTTGTTTGTTCTTCAAAGCATCGTATAAGTCATCCTGGTTTATGAGATCTGAAAACATAAAGTTTTTAATTGTGTTTGATTGACCGTGATTATGTTAAAACGATAAAGAAAAAAATATTAATTATTGACGGAAATAAGTTACGAAATAATATGGGAAACTTAGCACCGCTCCGTGGGCGTATTTGGAATTAAACGGAAGCACGAACGGATTTAAAATGGCGGGGCATTTACAAATAAATTTCTTGAATAATGTACCCTCTAAAAAATCCCCTGAACACTTTGATTCCGCCTAAATTTGGAGGAAAACCGCCTGAACATCTTTATCCCTAAATTTGGGGGGAAAACCCCCAAGTTGGCATCACTGCGTAGATTTGAAATTCATTTGTCGAAATTATCGTTAAGTTCGTGCACATTAACTGTTTATAAACTGTAATAGTCCACGTATTTTACGTGGTAAGGGTATGCTTATTTTATGTTGTTTAAACCTGTGTGAGTAAGACATTGTATTCTGAATTTCCAAGTGTGCAATCACGGGTGAAAATTATTGATAGTGTTCACCGTTCGGCAACTTGATAAAAACGTGATAAATGAAAGATACTAACTGTCACTAGGAGCTTATTGGGATCAGAATGTCAATACGATTACATATGGAATATTTTTTATTGAACAAGTTTTATGAGTAAAATCGACAAATAACTGAAAACAAAGGATAAAATGGCTATATATATCGTCATTAATATACTTTTTACAATTACAACCCTATACCACATTGAGTTAAAGCTGCTGTGTGCAGGCAGCAGTGAACAGGTATTTTTTTTAAGGATATGAGTCAAAAGCGCAGTTTGAATAAAATTCTAACCGCCGCCCGACACCTGCAACGCCGGATACCTATGGGTGTAAAGGTGTTGAGAAAATGGTACGCTCTGGTTCGAAAAAGAGCTGCGCGTGCGCGGCTTAATAGGCAATTCATAGAAGGATTTGTTTGATACATACCTCCTCGACCAACGTTAACAATAATGGCATTCTTCTTCATCTTTGCTAGTGTGGTTTTGTTGATCATGTGCCGTGTTTCATCAGTGAGAGGTGCAGCCAGTAGTATAAAATCACTTTCAGTCAACAATGTTTCTTGTGGTACGAACTGGGCGTTGTATTCCTTAGCTGCAAAAAAACGTGACAATAAGTTTTTGGAAGCCTTGCCTTACACCCAAAAAATCGAGTGAGTGTCAGGCACAGAAGGCTGATCACCTACCTGCCTAGAAAAAGCAAATCAGATACAGAAATATGACCCAAGATCAACGGTTGTGACACTGTTTATTTAATTTTTTTCATTTGAAGGAAGAATTTACTAAACTATTTTTATTTAAATGTACGAGTGGATATATTCATGCGTATATAAGGTAATATAATAAACGCAACGACATTTTAGTTCCACCCGGACCCTGACCTCATGATCTGCTGTCGATTATCACAAAATCAATAGGCATTTATATATATTTGGGAATAAAATTTACCTTCTGGTTTCTCCCGATGGCCAGAGTACAGGAATTTGCCAACTTCGAAGCCCACAAGACGCTTGGCTGTAGCCTGCCCAATCCCGCCAAAGCCTACAATACCGATTGTGCTCCCGCGCATATCTAGACCGAGCACGTTTTGGAAACCGATGCCGTCCCATACTCCTCTGTAAAATTTTATGAAAAAATTAATATCAAAATTTTTAAGTTCCTATATTACTTTCAATAAGTTCAACTGCTAAATATTTGAAGTGAGAAAGCAAAATACCTCTTCACTTGGTCTAAATTTTCTGGAAAGCGCCTTGCAGCTGCGATCATCAATGCAACAGCGACTTCGGCGACGGCACCACTTAACACTTCCGGTGTGTTAGAGAGCTTGATGCCACGAGCCTTGAGTTCTGGTACATTGCAGTTGTTGTACCCCGCTGATGCTGTACTTACAAGCTTTAATTGGGGACCTATAAATTATAAAATATTAGCAATCTAAGCTAAATGTGTAATTATATTGATACATCCTTACCCGAAGATGTTCCTTCCTGAACCCTTCCTAAAAGGTTAAGTTTCGTTAAGAAACATAGAGGTAAGACTCCTGTGTCTCAGATCAAATTCCCTTTTTGATATACGGGAGCCACACTTAGTGATAAGGGTGAGTAAGAGTTACAAAAACGAGCCTTAGCGCGAACATTCGTGCCAAATGTCAAATGTCAAAATCCAATATTTTTTGACAAACGCAAGGACGACTTGGCGCTAAGTCTCGCTTTTGAAACTTATCCAAAGCCTCGACTCTTAAAGACAAATTATTAAGAGACAGCTTTTGTTATCGATATATTATTCATACTCTATAAATATGTTAATTACGAATCTTATTTGCCCTCCCCAAGAATCGAACCCCAGTTTAAACAATCAACCCAAGCATTACCACCTGGAATTGCAGGTGTTTTTATTTATTATCTTATTAATATAATGAAAAATAAAGGATAACCCACCAGCTTTATCCAACAGTTCCTTGGTGATAGGATGATGTGAGATCCAGATGAGAGCAGAGCATCCTGGGATGAGGCTCATCAGCTCTGCCATGTTCTCATTCAGCCCTTCATCACCGAATCCAAAGTAACGAGACTTAAGCACTGTAAAACTAGAGAGAAATTTCCACTTGTATTTAATAAATATTGTGCAATACTCTTTGGCATACAAGTTTCCATACGCATATTTCAATAAGTAATATACCTATATTATAGAGAACAAAGAGATAGTTTAAATTAGTGTTCTATTATGCAAATGAAATATAAAGAGACAATTAAAAGCTGTCTACACACCGCAGCCGCCGGCCCGCCGGCACGAAACCGGCGGGTTAATGCCGGCGGCTTTAGAAGTTGCGAGCCTGACAATTTTCCCGGCGGCACGACATACAGTCGCGGCATGTAGTGTTCACAATTAGTGATTGCCAAGTGCTTGCTAGTGACTTGTTAAATTTTTTAATTTTCTCTCCACTTCATTAACGGATTCCATAATGTTTAGTCGGTAAAAACACTGACGCGTCACTATTTCTTAAAAGCCGGTGGGAACCGGTGGTGAAGAGCGGAGAGGGGCGTGCCGCGGGGAAGATCGCGCGGGCGCAAGCTGCCGGCAACATCGTTAAAAATAAGGCCGCCGGCCTTGCCCGCCGGCACGATGCCGGCGGGCCGGCGGCTGCGGTGTGTAGACAGCTTAATGTAGCAACCCGGAACGGTTTTATTTTAATTTTTAAAGAAATTATAATTATGTATATTGAGACAAAATATACTAAATACTTAACTTAAATCAGAGATCATTTTTTATTATATTATGGCACATATGCTGCCTTTTAGCTTAAAATGTCTATAGTGACTCGGGCTTGAGCAGGTTATAATTTTTTTTACAGCACCATTGAAGAATATAGATAATACATTTAATTGATTAAATATGTATTAAATAGACAAATGGTATGACTTTCCATTACTTTGTCAATAGTTTACCAAGTGATATAATATTATGTACTTAGGGAGTGTTCAAGTATTACGTCACGCATTTTTTGGAGATTATTGACCCCCCTCATCAACGCGCCGTAACGTTATTCTGTATCCAAGTATAGTAAAACGTTTCGTGACCACCTATTTATACCTAAAAGTTACCATTATGTGGTGTAAAGTACTGGAAAGTTGAAAATAATATCAACAATATTGCGTAATTAAATCCCCGTCCCGCATCGTAACGTTTTACAAAAGGACCCCACCCCCCAAAATTCGTTACCTAATCGTTTTTTTACTACTTTTTTATATTGTAAAATTTTCATACGTCTTTTTGAAATATTATATTGCCTGTGTTGATCGGGAATAATTTAGTAGTACTTATTCTAATGGTGAAAGAATTTTTCAAATCAGTCCAGTACTTTCAGAACCTTTTCCATTTAATTGTTTTAATATACATTTAAACAAACAATGCCATATTTTTCAATTAATGTACATCAAATCATAATTTTATTATATTTAATTTTAAGGAATTTCAATTGTATGTTCGACACTATCGTAGTGTTGAATAAATAAATCAAGATTAATATATTTTCATTCTTATCAGAACTGCATTAACATACTCATTTAAAAATTCATTAGAGATCTTCATTAGTCGTTCTTGTAATACAAAATGGCTTTTAGTGTTAGGCTTCACAAGTGTCGGTTACTAGGCAGACATGATGTCATTGTACAAATTTGTTTCAGATTCAGAAAAAATTCATTCATTTATGCAAGCTTTTGTGATACAAATGAATAAAGTTATATGTTAAGTAATTAAATGTTTTATTAACAATTATTACCTTTTAGATAAATATAATGACACTTTAGTGTTCTCTATGCAAATCACCCTTAAAACATTACAATTAGTGTAGAAGATCTTCGACTCGTACTACTACAACCAGGGGCCTTAGTCAAGATGCCTTAACAGTAGTGTATGTAGAACGTCAAAAACTAAATTTGTATGAAAACTTTTCGACACGAACTGTCATTTCCATACAAATTAAGTTTTCGACTTTCTACATACACTACTGTTAAGGCATCTTGACTAAGGCCCCAGGTAGATTGCTAGCTACTGGTACTGGTTTAGATAAGTATAAAACCGGGTAAAGTCATACGAGGAAACTTTGAGATATATTTTAGTTTCGATAAAGGTTCACAGAACCACTATCGTTAAGGCAAGACGATAAAATATGTTAGTTTTAAAATATTTCAAAACATGTATGAAGGCTTTATATTAATAGTAAAAAAAATAATTGCATTGGCTCTGGTTTCTTTTTAACTTAGTTGTCTCTTGTCAATAGTTTGACAGCTTGTCAAATCAACTAAAGACACACATTTATACATGAATAAATCTAATAATAACATTAAAACGACTATTTATATTATACTCACTGTTCTTCTAGTATTTTGATGCCGCTTTCCGCGAAATCATTTGAAGAGACAAGAACTTTTAGATTTTTCGTCATGTTTGTTGACGCGTCTATCACCGGCAACGACAGGTAGAGAACTAATAATAAAATACTAACACAATGCATTGTAAATGCCCTTATTTATCGTAATCAAATCCTTTTACAATCTAGTATAGTTAAAACGTGTAATCTCTAAGTACACGTTTTATTTACTGGAACACACTGTTCTCGCTCAAGGTTAGTGTTGATAGAGGGGTCAAAGAACGCGGGTTACAATGCGAGACGAATTCTCGGTATAAAAAAGTTAATTTATGTTAGATCAATCATAGTAGTTCTGTATCTTCTAAATTGGGGTTGGACATCATTTTTTCAATGAGATTTATGTACTTAGATCAAGAATTGGGAAAACATAAAAATTTTGGATCCTATGCGTCAGTAGCTGAGCAAGTGTGTTTAAAAAAAACATGTGTGTGTAGACTACGCGTTAGAAGTTATACTTTTTTTTCGTAACAAGATAAAAATATTTTAATTTTTTTTATCTTTCGCCTTGTTCTACGTTTGTAGAAATACGACACTAACAATAGAAAAAAGGTATTTAATACATTTAAAGTTTTATATAATATATTATTTATAGTATATTTAGTTAAATAAAGCTAATTTAAATATCACAAAAAATATTTCTACATAATTAAAGAAATGGACATTTTTTGTTTTAAAATGTTGACTATGGTAACTTCAGGGTGTCGGTTTTTTGTGACAGTGTGCGCGCTCTCAACATTTTTCCCTAACTGGCCAAAAGAAGTATAACTTCAAAAATCGAACTTATTTCGTGTTTAGGCCTGTATCACCCTGGTATACTATAACTGGAAATTCCAGTTAATGTAGCATATATTGTTGTTTGTTGTGCAGTAAAATGCCTTTACTATAATATTAATTATGTATATTCAAGAGCATTGAAAATAATGAAATCAATTTGGCCTAGGGCTCATGGTTTTCAGTTAATTCGATTTTCGCCGGTAATTTAACCTTGGAACATGTACTTCACCTCTGTTATCACCATTACACCATTGTTTAAATAAAGTACATACTGTATTATCACGTTCAGTTATCAAAAGTTTACAATTTCTTATTTTATTTTAAGTTACATAACTGAACTTTGTGTTCGTTACAAATAAATATAAAACCATGATATTGTTACAGAATTTTTTTGAGTGATTGCTTTTTTTTTGTTTTATATGATAGAGAGGCAGCCTACGTCCAAGAAGGGCAGTCATCGTAGCCTATGGGCACCTATTTTAGTGGGAGCGTTGCCGGCCTTTGAGGGAGAGGGGATATCATAATACGACTTTAAAAAGTTGCTTAAAATGCTCTCCGACCACATAGAACTATCGCTCAATTTGAGCTCTGTTTAAGCCTAATGTTATGTATTATATATTATAGGAAAATTGATATTTAGTTAGAAGGTATAACTAAATATAAATTTCCCTCTAGTATCGGTACGCAGCGGTAAGCGGTTCAGGCTGCAGCTACTTGCCATAAAGTTAAAAAACTATCTAAGGTAAATTAAATAATGCCGCCCGCCTTCGTAACCCAGATAGTTCGTGTTTTCTAACATTTCCAACAATATATACCTAATATATATCAATTATCAACCAATTTACACAAAATCTTGATAAATTTTATATCTAAAGCTTCACCAGGATTCACTCTTTAGCTTTAATTGAGGAGATTTCTAAACTAATTTCCTCGTTCACTTGTAAATATAACTAAATATATACCTACCTACGCCTTAAGACAAATTTTTTTACGAACTAAACTACCATTAAATTGGCAAATTACAATTGCATTATCTGTAAACCAACCGTAGTTTAATTATTATTATTGATCACGGTAGAGTAAATTACTTAATTTATTTTGAGGTCATAACCTAAAAATTACATTTGATATCGGTTCGCATGTCTGTAAAATAAAAACAAACAAACGCATGTTTAAAAAATACAAGAAAATATGAAATAAAACATTTTACACACATTTATTTAATTATTTATACTTTATTAAGTTAATCAAAAACATACACAACAAAAATAAAAAAAACAGATTACAAAAGTTATAAGGCAACGGGCGGCCTTATCGCTAACAAGCGATTTCTACCAGGCAACCCTAAAGTGGAACAATGAAAAAGAAACACCTACAGAGGGTAGAGTACAAGAAATGCAAAAATTATTCAAAAAAAAAACTCAAAATAACACGTTTCTATAACTAAAATAAAATAAAGTAAAATGTAAAGATAAAATAACAATAATTAATAATAAATAAAAATATGTAGAAACAAAAATTTAAAATACAATCAAAAGGTTAACTGAGTCACAATAATTATTAATACATATCAGCAGCGCAATTACGAGGCAGATAGAAAATGATCAAAAAGGAGCTTCTTAAATAAATTTAAGGACTGAGCTCGTCTAATATCAATAGGTAGGGAATTCCATAGCAGGATACTTTGTGTACATACATCGTGTATGTAGAACATGGAAATAATGTAGTAATGGAGTGCCTAATTTATAAAACTACGCCGTTAGTCAAGCGACAATTCGAAAACATTTAAATTTTTATGTTTTTTATAAATATTAATAAACGATATATTAAATCGCAATTAAAGTCCTGACAGTTAAATGAAACGCCTTAAACTAGAAATTATTTAATCGTACACAGGAATTAGTATACAGGATATACCATTTTCTCTCCATTCATAGCCAAAAGTATATTTTGTGCTGAGGTGGTAGCCATAGCGTCTCGGGTTTTATGCGTGGCACTGCCCAAATGTGGTATTATACCTGAAAATAAATGGTTCAATAAAAAAAATTATGTCGTAGGGAAAAATTGAAACTAGTGACATCGTTTTCTTGTGCACCTTATACATTATTTAGTAATTAAAGTATACAGGGTATAAATATACATACAGTATAGATATATTAAATTTAACGACAAAAAATAGAATTTATTCAGGTTGCAAGTATACACTGCGAATAATCTTTTTAAATTCATAAAAACTATTGTGAAAAATATCAACATAAGAACACACAGAATACTTGCACATTCTAGCGAGCGAACCATTCTGGGATACATTGTTGATACTTGTGGGTATCATAAATAGAAGAGACTTTAGAATAGACTTAGCAAGCCCAAGCTGCCCCACCTAAATTCTTGGAATATTTGTTTATTGTGATGTCAAATGCTGGAAAGCGTAATAATTACAATTCCTCCTGTTATAACAGTTTGCTTTCTTGCTTTTACCTTCTAGTGACAACTTGGTAAGCAATTTCTTGTTAAGCGATCGGCGAATGAACCAATCACAAATACTATAATAAAATCGCAAAATTGTTTAGCTATTTTATAGGAAATAAAGTATAAAGAATACTCACAACAATTCTGGAGTGATACAAGAGGATGGCTGTGCGGCAATGGTTCCGGAGTCACCACGTCCAAGCCGGCAGCAAAGATACGTTCCTCTTTCAGAGCGTCATATAATGCGTCTTGGTTTATTAGATCTGTAATGTAAACGAAATTAAGAGCCTCAAAGTATCCATATATAGTTCCATAATAAACATATTTTATTTAATTTTTTATTTTAACTATAGTTTCAGAATATACCTCATTTGTGACGGTTATCAAGTTTGGACTGAAAAATCTTAGATAAAGAAAATATATCTGCTAAAACACTGCAGTGGAATTGACAGATATATCCAAGAAATATTTATGCATAACTTGATTTGTATTCAACAAATTTAAAATTATGTGACAATGTATATGTCGGAGCAATGTCATTATATGTTTCTTTTTATATAATTGGAGGCAAACGGAACGGAAGGTAATGTCCTTTTAAGAACGCTCTTTTCTTGACGCTCTTAGTCGAATTGGTTGGGAAATACTTCAGTGGGCAGCTGGTTACAGATAGTGGTGGTGCGCGGCAAAAACTGCCTTAAGAAATGCTTAGTCGTGTTTCATTCGATGTTTCACTTGAACTAGATTATTTATGACCGGATTACATATAATTTATTGTTTATCAAAATTGTTACATATTGTCTGTACAATAGAGAAAAGATATGACGTCTGTACGTCATTTATCAGTTTGTGCTATCTTTTCTCTTATCAAACAATATTTCGTAACTCAGACTTCTTATCATTAGATTGGTTTACCCGTTATTACTGAAGAGATAGATATTTGTAACTATGCATTCGACTATGTTAAATTTTTACACACATAAATATTACATTTACAGTGTAAACTCTTTATACCGTCATTCGTTATAACGCAAAATTCTCTATAAAGTAAGAATGAAGTAAATTCATTTGGTTTATCCCAATACCCATACATTAATTGTTCCCTCCCTATAACGAATAAAAATGTTCGGTCCCTTTCCGAAATTCGATATAAAGATATGTATATTTAATATGAGTCGCAGACATCCCTAAAAGTCGAGCATCTAAGGGAGAGATCCAGAAACGAGGTTTGCCGCGAACACATTTTCATCATAAGGAATTACTAAGTTTTTCGACCTAAATGTGTGATAAGTTTATTTTAAGCAGATGAAAAACGAGTCTACGGGATGCCCATGCATATCTATTTTAGTGAGAGGAGTGAGGGATGAGTATGCTCTTTTTTAAGCTATCGCATAGATTTTATCGCGGGCTTTGAGCGCGGCAACCGAATCAAGAAATTTCGTAACGAAAATAAACCTAACACACGATGATGTAATATAGCGCGGCCTGTGCAGGCGGTACGCGGTTAGAGTGAGACAGACTGTATGCAGACTGTCTCACTCTGCGTACCGTCATACAGTCTGTCATACAGGCGTGTTAGTCTGAGTCTGGTAGAGTGGTAGATTGAATTGATATCAAAGAAATAAATACTGCATAAATAAATTATTATAATTGCATAAGTTGATAAAAATGCTATGCAATAGATTTACCGTGGCAGTCCCCGAGTGCCACACGTTTTTTAAATCGTCGTATCTCCCAGAGAAGACCCCCAACGGGAGAGGATTCCACAGTTCGCAAAAGAAAATGTATCATATAAAAAAAAGAACTATGTAAAAATGCTTTTTATGTTTGATGGAGATTGAAACTGTCACTCATGCAATGATTAATTCCTATTAATTAGATATCGTTAAACTCACCTCCTCTGCCAATATTGATGACGACTGATGTCTTCTTCATCAATTTGAGGGTTTCAGCGTTAATTAGATGTTTGGTTTCAGGTGTGAAAGGACAGGCGAGGATCACAAAGTCACTCTCTTTCAGTAATTGGTCTAAGGGGACACGTTCCACTCCCAAAGATTTGGCTGAAACAAATATTGCCTAAAGGGACTCCTTTTAATATTATATTTTAAGGTTACTATCGTTATATGTATCCCTTATAGTTATATAATAAATAAATATTTAAGATAATAAATTCTTTGTTAAAAATTTAACGTAAAATTTATGACAAAAATAGATCTATATTATATCCCAAAATGCTCATTTAGTATTCTGACCACAATAATTATTACCCTTCCAATATTATATTGAAACAAAATAGTTAAGAAATAAGTTTATCAATTTTATAGCATTTCCATAATCAATAACACAAGATTACCTTCGGGCTTGTCAGATCGACCACTGTATATGAATCTCGCGACATCGAACCCTTTCAATCGTCTCACAACTGCCTGTCCAACCCCGCCCAAACCCACTACACCGACAGTACTTCCCGCTATATCTTGCCCAAGTTTCCACTGGACACCGAATTTCCATTCGCCACTTAAAAATAAATATAAATTCCTTATTTCGGAAAATATTACCTAAACATAACAATCAAATATACAGTATTTGCTTAACCTACATAGTAATAAAAATAATATAAATAATCAAAAATTAATAAAAAGAAAATTAAAACAAATTAAAAAAGTTTGGTCCCCGTGGCAGTGTACCTTCAACGCTGGCAACATTTCCTCGCTGTACTTATATTTTTTTTATTTTTTTTCGGAAAATTTAATAAAACTGCCTTGCGATTCTGTAACTCACTCTTCGAACTCACACAGCGGTTTTCGCATCGGCGGTCGCTCTCAAATCAGTCGTGAAGCAGTCATTTTATGATTTGGCATTCTAATAAACAATCAACTACAAGCTCCCACCTTATCAGAATGCCAAATCATAAAATGACTGCTTCACGACTGATTTGAGAGCGACCGCCGATGCGAAAACCGCTGGGTGAGTTCGAAAAGTGAGTTACAGAATCGCAAGGCTGAACACGTAAAAAAGTTTTTACATAATTTACATAACTTAATATACATGTGTGCTTTAGATATATAATTTCTGATTGTCAAGGGCGTCTCAAGTGAAAGATTTAACGTCCTAAAAACATGTTAATATTTAAAAAAATATTCATAAATTGATTTTCTATTCTCTGCAGCTGTGTCTATCTGCCCACGCCTGGGTTTTTGGCCAGGAGACGTCATATTGATCTCTCTAAATGTATCTGCGTTTCATTATTCAATAAAAGTAATTAAAAAAAACAAATACCATTCAATCTCCCGAATGCCAGCCTTAAAACCCCTGGCGGCGGCTATCACAAGACCAACGGTGATGTCTGCTACGGCATTGTCTAAACTGTGTAAAGTGTTTCCCAGGAGAATTCCCCGCTTAGCCAATTCCTGTACATCAATGTGGTCAACACCAGAAGCCATAGTAGTTACGGCTTTCAGCTGGGGTCCTGTTAATATATATTGGATTTTAGATATAGGTTATATTAAGCACTAATACATATTATATAGAAGTAATCTTTCGCGTTTCTGAATTCTAACGGTTACGTGTTCTTTTTGATACGATGATGAAACTCAGCTGCATGTTTTAATCCGAACCCTCCACGGTAAATGCGGTAGGAGATGCAAAGAGACCCCACTCTCTACGCCATGCCAAGGGTTCAAGCCGCTCGGAAAGTGACTGATCGTCGACGATTCGAATCGCTCTTCGTTGAATACGGTCAGGTGGCGGGAGTTCCCAGCCGCTGCATTGGGTAGCTACCGCCCAGAGCTGAGGGCGCGCCCATAGTAAGATTACAAGAAGGTCACCAGCAGAGCCACCACGGCGAAAGCCGTACGTACATTCGCTAATCAGCTGGTTGGCTGGGTTTCTCTGAGAAAGGGACTGCCCATCCCAGGAGAAGCAAGGCCTTTTCCTTCGCGGTGTGGGCCAGCGAGTCATCCTCCCTGTGCAGTGGTGGGATGGAGGACTGACAGAAATACGCTTGACAGCTTTGCCAAGCGACTAGAAGGCTAGAGTACCCGAAGAGGGGGCGAGCCAATTTCTTGCTAAATCTGGCTAGGTGCTCTGACTTTGCCCTAGCGATTTCCCGTTTTAAGGACTTGGCGGCTGGGTTATATGCTCGTTAAGTTCGCCGATATCACAAGATTTCGTCACTTCTGCGCAGGCTTTAAAGTGTTTTCGCTTTGGACCCAAAGCCGCCTTGCATTGTCACCGATCATCACAGCAGAGAATGGAATAAAAAGTTCTATACCTTGCAGCACCACCTCGGCGACAGAGTCAGCAAATTATAAATCAGTTGTCCAGTACATTGCATAAAATATTTTATACTGTATATTTACCAGCTAAATCTATAAGATCTTTTGTTAGGCGATGTTTCGTGTTCCATATTAAAGCCTCTATCCCGATTATATTTTTCTTTATTTCTGGTAACAAATCAGGTTCATAGTCCAAGTATGGCAACACCGTTACCTGTAGTCTGAAATAAAAATGGATGACTTAAAACTCTATAGAACTGTTTAAAACGAATTTGAAAAAAATTTACCAAATTACTTTTCTATTCTAATCAAAATACCTAATTTTAATAAAATAAATCATCAATTAACACAACTCAATACTCATAAACATTGTCTGCGTCCTTGATGTTAAGCGAATTAATAAAAAAATGTTGTAGGAACAAATGTGAGTCAACACATCCTTTCAGTGAGATTGATTCTTTCACATAAAATGTTGAAAACTAAACGGCAAATATGAATATTTTAACGTGGCAACACAAAACAAAAAAAATATACTCACTTATTTCGCAAGAGGTCCAATCCGACTTTAGGAAATGTTTTGTTAACAATTAAAACTCTTTTGGACATCATTTTTAGTGGTAGCACGCTCGTCCTAACCTACGAATTCACGGTCAATTATAAATAATTTATTTTGTCAGATGTTTTGTGCTGCTTTTATTATGTAACCCAATGAGTTTTTGTAAAAACTTGGGCAATCGAGTAAACATATATAGCCTTTATAGTTATCTTATATTATCTGTAAGTGTAATTTGTTAACGTAAATTCAACATAGCTAAATATAGATATTAGATCAATGTTGTAATCATTGTGAAATAGGTTGATAACTAATGTAGCGCCATCTAGTGTTAGACGGATGGATTACGGCAGCGTATATAAATCGGGCAATGCATTGAAGTTGAATACAGTTTGTTTAAAGAATTAATTAGGATCTCGATAGATGGCGTTGAAAACATTTGTATTAGATTTATTTCTTCGTTCTTTTAATTATTATTTAACCAACATAATATGCAGTGGCGGATTTATAGATTTGCCGCCCGTAGGCTATTCAATTTTTGCCGCCTCTAAATTTTGATATCTTAGTCCACAATCATATCAATTTTCTATCAATAAAATTCCAACTTCATAATTTGTGCTCCATCATCCTCGTTACATCAACTTTTCCCATATAGTTATTATTATTGAGAACTATGGTACCGTGTTAGATCCTTGATTATTTTTACAGCAAAGATTATCAAAAAACATTATTTTAAGGAAAAAATATCTCAATCGTATACCACTTTTAAAGTAAGGTAAGATATGTCTTAAAACTATACAATACTTACAAAATATGAATGTCATGTCATGTCGTTTGTTCTGGCGTTACAATACAAATACGACTACGCAATTGCATGCCTTAAGTGCGAAGCGCGTAGTAGGTATGCTCTACTCTTGCCTAAAAATCTAAATCCGATGTTTTCTCACATTAAACCGTACCTAACAAATATGATGAACATGAATATTATTTAAAAAGCAACTTATCGGAATGAAAAATGATCGCTGAGCTTATTTATTATTATTTTTTCGGTTATGATTAATTATTTTTTATTTAAAAGGAAGTAATTTTAATGCCATATTGTATGGATTTTGGATGATCGTGTTCACAGTAAACACGATAACTTTCGAAAAAATAATTTTTTCACTTCAATTTTTTTTTTTAAATACTTGTTTAACTGGAGAGAAGCCGTTGAATAAAAAATTTCAGCTGAGAATTGTTTTATCTTCTTATAATTAATTCATTCCGATTGGCATTTTCTGAAAAAGTTGGCTTTGCGAAAAAGTTATCAAATCTACTGATGTAAACATTTAATTTAAATACAATTCGTGTACGACATGAGCGCTTAAGGCCTGCTCATTTGGATTTTACAAACTTTTTCTTACTGCAAATAAAATAATTAACTGATAAAATGTATCAATGAGCAAATTGTCTCACTTCATATTTTGTGGAGGGAATTTTTTTATTGTCAAGTCACAGTCGTTCAACTATCAGTTATTTGATTAATATGATCTCTATAAGATATCGAACTAGTTTTTTATTTGATAAAAATTAGTCAATTTTAGTCAGTATTTTTATTAGACCATCGATATTATATCGATTGAATTGGGTAAGCAGATCTCATAATTATTAGGTACACGGAGAAAAAATTAGCAGGATCGGTGCAGTTATCAGTGAAGAATATATGTAAAAATTACTAAATTTCGATTATAATATCGAATCGCGATATTCTAAAAGTTCATAATCATTAATGTATAATTAGTAAAGCGTTTAGGAATTGTTCATGCAGAGATGTTGAAATATTTATTAATTAGTATATGAGAATATTTCGATTTTTGTTAAATATTTTAATTTCTCTCTAATTTTCGAAATTCGTATTATGTGTGTATAATATTTTTTTTTTTAAATTTGTAAACCGAAATAAAAAATTTATGAACTAAATTTGCCGCCCCTAAAAATTTGCCGCCCTAGGCTCCAGCCTACTCAGCCTGCTGGTAAATCCGCCACTGATAATATGCTTATGTAAATGTTCGTTCTATAACAATACTATTAAAAATAACACATGCAAGGATTTTTGTTACTAATATATGAAATACATTTTTGTTCTATTCGAATTTAAGTACATTAAAATACTTTTTTTGTAAATTCGAAGTTTCTAAACTGTTCGTCTTTGAGGGCAGTTTGGTGTTCAATGTATTTACTTTTAAACAGAGATAAAGTGATATTATATACCTTTATGGTCGCTGGTAATACTGCAGCGGTATTCAATCGAACGTCTCTGCTACTGAACGGAAGCTTTGGCCGCGAAAGAAAGACATTGCACCCGCTAGCCTGGTATAAAACTGAAGAAGGATGGTGAACAGTTCCTCTAATTAAGAGGGATGATCCTCAACCAGTCGTAACACTGGCTCAAAGGCCATTTTATCTTCTCAAAATATAACATTGTTAGCGCTGTGTTGGTTGTAGCCGTAGATGATAGATGTCGCTACTATACTATTGTCTCTGTATTAAAGGTCTTCAATCATTTTGCAAGGCTTCGTTTATTGATAGTAATATTTGTGAGTGTGGAGGAGATATTGGTGACGTCGACCATATTTTATTCTCTTGTTCCCAATATGACCCGCCTTCTTGAATTCCTTACAATTACTACTTGTTCCGTTTCCGACTAAAATCTCCTGCTTTTTGCTTTATTCTTTTTTGTATTAATGTTTTATCTTCTTTCATAATCAATAATAATATTAATATTTAATATGTTTATGTACATATTTTGTTTTTAACTACCTTATCCCGTTGTTTCCTTTTGATGTCTGTTTATTTTTTCTCGCGTGTAGTTTCCCAACCTTTTACTTGAAACTGGCATAAAGTTAAAATAATTGCCATAAACAAAAAGTAGTAGCGCAACCTTGTAATACGACTTATTTAAATTGCTTTTAGTGAGTTACAGAGTACTGCCTTGCGATTCTGTAACTATCCAACACACAAATATATTCTTAACCTACATAGCAATAACAATTAAAAATTAATAAATTTAAAAATCCCTGTAACAGTGTACATTTAACGCTAGCGTTGAGCGAGGAAAGCACTGGCTCTGGGGTCACCGGTACTATCTACCAGACGCCAACTTAAATCTTTAATTAGCCCCTGTGCATGTGAACTCCACGGCCCAAGAGTCTCTACTAAAAAGGGAACAAAAGTTGGAGGAAAGATTCTTATATTTGAGCCGGTTATTATTTCCCGCCAATCTAGCCTGAGAGTCGCGCAGCGGGCGATGAAGCTTGCAACGCATGGCATCTCCCTTCACAGTTCACCATCGCATTTCCGTTGGTGAAAATACCGGCACAAGTAACGGATTAAGGGAAACATCTAAGTGGCGTTGGGTAGGATATACCCGGAGGCGCCTTGAATGGAGACCTCGGCAGAACAAAAGGAGGCTGCAGATGCACATGCAGAGAGGCCATTGCAGGGTGTACTAGAAGATGGAGCAAAAAAGATGATGATGAATTCCTTTGAACTGATTTAGGAACATTTTGAAGTGTTACTTTTTTAGGCGCATGAGGGTAAAATTTTTACGGATGAAACGTCACGAAGATGTGTAGCGTAGAAAAGGGAGAGAGCGATCGAGGCCGATTCAGAGAGAGTGAGAAGGGCGAATTAACTTGTATGGAAATTGTATTTTTAAAATTAATTCGTAAAGAGAATTTATGAAATATTAGTATTTTATATTTTATGCAAAATTTATTGAAATATCAAATGACGAACTGTAAATTAAAATGCCACGTGTTTTTACTATTGAAGGAATGAATTTTAAAAAAATATATAATTTTGTATTGATTCATTAAATTCCTAACATATCTTCCTTTTTCCCTCCCTCCCTCGCAAATCTAAAGTTTTAGATTTGTATAAATATCAAGACTTAAAAATTAGTTTGCCAAAGAAGTTTCACTTCTGACATATGTCAAAAAGTGTTTGCGTACAAAGGTACGCACGCACTTTTTTAATAGGAAAGTTTTTTAATATGTAATGAAACAGATCCCCGATAAGTCAAATATACAGATATATTTTTTGATAAATAATGAATAATTCGAAAAAGGTCGTAAAGGCATAATAATTTGATTAACGTCTACACCACCTGATGTGTTTTTTAAGTACAGGTGTTGTTTAGGGGCTTGCAAAATGGCATGATACGTTCCACTTTGCTCTTGTTACACCATCCACTGATGACCCGGTCCAATAAAATGTATAAAACGTTATTAAGTCAAAAGAAAAATCGTGCTTTATGTAACAAATGTATTCTATTAATGATCAAATGCGTGAAACATTATAATGAATGTTAATTTGATTACGTAATAATATATTTAAATAATGTGATTATGTAGTGACAAAATAATATCAGAATTGACTATAATGATAACTCATAATGTAATTGTAACTTCTAAGTAAAATTCTACCTTTTAAGACAAATTCGCACGCCATTATGAGTGGCAGAACATGCGAAGTTTAGATTGTGCCACCATAACATTTTTTACCATATTCTTCCAAATAAATTATTATTATTATTATAAAACGTCCTAAAAATGTATTGGGGGTATATACGGAAGATAGGCCAGTCGCCAGATGTATTTAACTTGGCCGTAATTCAGTATATGAAGTAAATGACAATGGATGAATTTGCAAGAAATTCTTAAACACGGAGAATATATCGTCGAGGTATATAATTATTATTTATTACTTATTTATTCGTCGCAGAAATATGTATTTATGAAGTATATAAACGACTACACCGTGACGTAAAGAGTCCAAGTATTTTGGTTAAAACGTAATAAAACTGATTTTAAATGTAAATTACGCCTTGACCTTTCAATTTTATTTATTATTGTCGTTCATAAGTGTTACCAAATGATTACATTTACCGAGACCGTACTTGTGAGCCTTCTGGCTGTGTGAGGCGTCATCAACATCATAGGCGTCCTGATCGTTCACTCCATTTTATATAAAAAATATGAATAAAGGAGTAAAGGTACAAATCATGAGCATTAGT